GAGATGGGTTTACCAGTGGGAATTTAGGTACCAGGGAAGATAGAGATGGGTTTACCAGTGGGAATTTAGGTACCAGGGAAGATAGAGATGGGTTTACCAGTGGGAATTTAGGTACCAGGGAAGATAGAGATGGGTTTCTCGCTGGGAATATAGGTACCAGGGAAGATAGAGATGGGTTTCTTGCTGGGAATATAGGTACTGGGGAACATAGGAATTAGTTTGTAAGTGTGAATATAGATACTGGCGAACAAAGGAATGGGTTTACTATTGGATATATAGATCCTTGGGAACATAGGTATGGGTTTACCGGTGAGAATATAGGTACTGGGGACCATAAGGATTGGTTTATCGGGTTGGTTGAATGTCGGGATCTGGGAAACATAGGTGAGCGTTTACTGGAGTGAATATAGCAGGGACCATAATGATGAACCTCATTTTTCAAACTGTACCTTCTTTGAGAGTGGCTCACACTCGTTCTTTTGTCAAATATTCCTTCTCATTTGTTTTAACTTCCTTGTCAAAGCAAAACATTCATTTGAACCGAGTAATTTTTTTGTTCTGACTCTTTTGTGAGCTCCAGTTGAGGTGAGTCAGCAGTAATTTAAGGATCATCCAGTCATTCTGTGATTAAGATAACAGGTCATAAAGCTTTCAGCAGGTAATAATCTRTCTTGTAATTTGTCAAATGTAAAAATCCACCAGAAGATGCAGCCCGATGAGCGATTCAAATATCTGACCATGTGCTCTCACAGTGATATAATGTTACTGTTAGTTCATCCATTTATCTTCAGAGAGCTGGTCTCAGGGTGATATCATCAGATGAGTTTCTCCTGGATGATTCTGCCCCGTTAATCACCTCGTGTACYGGAGCTGACCAGCTGTAACCTGAGACTGTAAAAGGCGTATCACATCACCGTGACGTCATGCGAMCTCGACCGCTGTGGAGTGAGCGAAAGTAAGCCACCCAGTTTGAGGACCAGCACAGACGCCTTTAATGGTTGTAATCTGATCAAACACCTGCAGCAGCTCGATGGAGCTCTGAGGAGCAGCACTGATGGGAAAACCCCTGTCTCAGGTTTTACAATTACAAAATGAAAGCTTCTGTCCTTCAGGGTGAACAAAACATGGTGTTTGTTACGGTATATTCTGGAACTTCTCAGTTAGTGCTCAGAGTATGTGCTGAAGATCACTTTCAGCTACTACCATAGCAAATTTTAGCTCAATAYCTGCAAAACTGATGGTGTTAGTCACTTCAGCATTTAGCTAAATGGCCATCTTGAACTGTGTTGATTCCCAAAGCGAATCAGTTATAGACGCACATCCAAACAGTATTTTCTAAAAGTTTCCTCAAAATCTGACCGGTGGCCTCAGCAAGAATAAATCCAACATGTTGGATCAGACTGAAGCTCGGCTGGTTCCTCCCGCGATTGTAAATATTTAATCCAGAAGCATATGGCCGCCGTCGGAGGAGGGCCAAACTGCGGCTGCGTCCAGTCAGCGTGTTGCTTTCAGATGGCTTAACGAGGCTGAATAAAACCAATATTCTGAACTGCAAAGAAAACCTGGTCATCACWGGTCATTTTGTGAGTCTACAAGGTTTTCTAAAGATGTGGAAGTTTTAAGAGGGCCAAGGTTTTGGATTTTTCTTTATAGTTTCGTTTTATTTCGTTGTGACTTTTTTCTTTTAATTCAGTTTTTCTTTTAATTTGGTCACAAGTTAAAGCATCCATTATAGCGAAACCTTCCTAAAATAGTTGCGTAACTCAATTTTGCCAAATAAAATCTTGGGCGATTATTTTAGGACGATGACAATAGTTGTATCCAACTCGATGCTACCTGTTGCTTGTTTTTCACAGGAGCTACTGAGAGAAGCTAGCGTGTCAGATAGTCATAGTTAACCATCTTGTGTGAGCTTGATTCATGCAGTTTTTTCCTTGAGAAGTATTCCACCTATTTTATCAACTGTTTCCACTACAAGACACTTTTATTTTTCAGTCATATTCAAAGAAATCCCAAAGTGGACGTTGTCGCTTTCTCACAACTTTTGTTGTCATCATTTGGCAGACGATGCTGAACAGCAGCCGCCTGTAAACAAGTGTCGTTATAAACCACAGCTAATGTGAAACTACTTGATTTAAAAAAATAAAAAAACAACATGGCTCAAAATAAATTTACAAACTAAGGATATTCTATCTATAATTTCAGTCAGTTTTAGTTAGTTTTGTAAGAACATTTAAATTTAGTTAGTTTTGTAAAAAGATTATAGAGTATTAGTTGTTTTTTATTTTATTACAGATTTTATTTATTTCAGTTAACTAAAATGTATATATTTTTTCAATTTCAGTTTTTGGTATTTAGTTTAAGTTAACTGGAATAACTCTGAAGGAGGCATAAGAAAAATATACTTTTTTAGCCCTTAAAAGCTTTTTTGTTGTGTTTTGAAATGTCCACTTAAAAAAATGCTGCTATCAGCTAAAGAGCTGTTGATGACCAACTGCCTGTCAAACCATTTTATCATATGTAAGTAAATTAAAGCATGATACGTCCCTTTTGTTCCTTTCAGTTTTGGAGATAATTCTGAGCTCTGATTTAATGGAAGCCAATGGGAGTTTGGGAGTGTACGGTCTGCCCTCTGCAGAGATTTGAGAGAAGATTTTAAGTCCTWCAGCAACAAGAGATACACCGAGTGAAAAAAAGTAAAGTTGAGATGTTTGCTAATTTTATAAACTGGTATTTTATTCACCACAGAACATGATGAGCATATCTAATGTTCAACTCGTTCCATATTTGAGAGCACAAATCTCAAAGTTGTTCCAAGTTCTGTGAAGCATCTCTCTTTATCGTTTCGAATTGAGGTCAAAGCTTTTCAGATTTACTAAACTTCAAACTCGTTCGTGCACGTGTGTTGCCTTTCTTTTTTTTTCTTTTCTCGGGCCTCCCCGCCGTCGGTAGTTGCAGCGCGGCAACGGTTGACACGGCTTATCTTCCTAATGCACCCTCCTCTGCAGAGGCCATGAATTAGTCTGAAATATGGAGCAGGCTGCCGCTGCCAACCTCATCTGCAAAGTGAGTGAAGCGAAGCGGAACGAGGCAGCCGGAGATGCAGCGTCAGGCCCTTCCTCCATAAAGAAGTCTGGGAACGCCGGCTCCTCTTTTTGCCTTACTCAGAAATGAGATATAACGTTCTCCCATCCTGCCCTGCCACGCTCCGACTGCAACCAAACTGAAGATAACACTGAGCGATGGGCCTCTTTTTATTAACCAGACTCTAATTACCATTTCTTTGGGTGAAAACAATGTTTTTAGTTTTTATAAAATAATCTTTTTGTCTGTCTTTGTGTTTGTGGAAGCAGGAGAAACTCGTACAGATGGTTAACAAATGAGGCGTTATTTAAAGCAGATGTTGCCTCGTCCCGTTTTGATTGATTTTTCATTTGCACAAAGAAAATGTAATTTAATTTAAACCAAAATGCAGCTTTTATCTGTCTTTTTATTATATTCTTAAATGGTTTCTTTGTTTGCTTTGATTGACAAAAATGCAACAAAAGATAGCTCTACTGCAGTTTGGATGCAAGAGAGACACTGATTTTTTTAAATTTATTTTTCAAACAAATAACCAAGGTAATAAACAGGTGTGAGAGCTAAGTATAATATTTTATTTTAATATTTTTTTTATTTATCCAGCAGGCTGTGTGAAAAAAAAAATTAAAAATGTTGCACCGTCCACACGAAAACCGTTTTTATGAATATGAGAGGTTTATTTTTATTATTTTTATTGTTTCAGCCTTATGTCTACATGAAAATACTGTTTTATGAGCCTTAAAAGAGTTTTTTTAAATGAGTTTCAACGTCACAGTCATGTGTTTGTGTGGACAGTCACAACATAATTTTTAAAAAACAACATTTTCATAGCCCTGCCTCTAAACTAAACTGTGTCTGCTCATGCTCCACACCTTGTCTCCTGTTTATGGTATGTTTTCATTACAGTGCCACCTACAGGACTAGCATAGTTCCTACAACCAATTTCCATGTGGATTAGGACATTTTTGGAAACGGTACAACCTGTGTATGGCTCTTTTTATGCTATTTCAACAACATGAGAAAAAATTAAAAATCAGGTGTGTTTTAAGCCTCCGCCCCGGAGGAGGCATGCTGTTCTCTGGTTGTCCCTCTGTGCATTAATGGGTGTGAAATTCCATCCATCACACTGTCTTTTGTTCACTTTATTTCCTGAATAGAGCGATTGATTTCAGTCAAAATTGACAGGATGATTGTTCTTGAAACAACAGTGGTCTGAAAAAATGTTGGGGTCAAAGGTCAAAGCTGAAGGTCAGGTAAAGTGATCTTTGTTCCTTGAATCCCGTTATTTTGGATGGTACACATTCAGTAGTTGGTCACTGAAATTAATGATATGGTAAATATCAAAGAGGGAGTTTTGTTAAGACATTGTTCATATAGTTACACACTTCTTAGGCTATTTAAGGCCAGAAATAGAGGTCAACAGGTAACTGCATACCCTGTGCTTTAAATGCAGATGAGTCTAGGGATTTCTACCTTGTATTTATTTATTTATTTATTTTTGATTCTTTGTTTGAAAATTAAATTATAAAAACAACTATCACAATAAAAGCCTATTTTGTTTTAGTATTTTTTATTTAATTTTAATGGCAAAGATGAGATTTACATTTTGTTGGTGCACCATTTGGGACCTTCTGGTGGAAATCGAGGTCTGAACACCCGGAGCGTTACATTTTCACTTCTCAACACGGATATGTTTCTTATTTAGAGGAAGTCTATTTTACCGTGAATAAAATTGCTTTAATATTCCTAGTTAAGCAGAACACTCTTGAGTGCAGCTTTTGTCGATATCTTTAGGAATAGTTTCAGATTTTAAGCAAACCAGCCACTAAACTATTGTTCTTTGGTGACTTCCGTAATTTCCGGTATCACTACATATTAAAAATAATAATAATTGGATTGAGATACCGAAGCAAAAAATCAAACACTGTGAATTATTAGTTAGTTTGATTTGACTGTTTTTGCATTCAGGTTAGGAAAAAAAGCGTTTTTATTTTTGCAGTTTTCTTTTGAAACARAAAAACCAAAGAACGAACCATAAAAGGATTTGGTACCTTGTTTGCAAAGATGATTTTAGAAATGACAAAACTTTATTTCACTAGGAACAATGCCATAAACATCTTACTTTGTGAAGAATTTTTGAATATTGACAACTTGCTTAAGTATTTTTTTCCCCCAAATTTGTCAGGAATCTGTAAAAATGTCATATGGTACATCGTTTGTCGGGTTTTTATTTATTTTTTTGTGTGTTTCCTGAACAACGTGCAATAGAAGATTTATGTAATTATTTTAGGGAGGTATTTAAATTTCTTGTTTTGCATTTGAGACATAACAGATGAATCCCTCTAAAACAAACTGTCAGTTCATCTCAACAGCAAGGCTGGAGGTTTTAAAAAGCTGTTCATTTATTTTATTTAGATTAAAAAGAAGCACATTTCTACAGCAAGCTGACAAAAAACTCTGTCTCAGTCAAACCATCACATCCGCTCATTAATTACCGGTGTCTTGTGAGATGTTCTCTATTTGAAAAGCTTATTTCAGCAGCCCTTCCCGTCTGAATGCTGCATGCTCACTGTCCACTGCAGACACACTTAAGTTAATGAATAGCTGGAGGATGCTGGCATTCTTTACTGCAGCGCATTGAAAGAAGACTGTCTGGATTCACCAGGCAAGGAGAAAGAAAAACCTTTTCGACACCATCTGGCCAGGCTCAGAGCGTCCCTGTAGATTCTACTGAATTTGTTTTGTAATGAAAACAGACTCATGCTTTGGTTTATGTAAAAAAAACATCAGTGGAAGGCTTTCCAGGAGCTGATTAAATCTATTTATTTACATTCTTTACATGTTTCTCTGTGATGCATCTCTAATGGCAAACAGGACTTTTCAGGTAGACAACAGGTCCACTCGTTCCCTCTGCAGTAAATCTTATTAACGTCCTGAAACTCAACTTGACCATCTTTATAAGATCTAACTGTCATAAGTTTTACTGGAACAAAAAGATGAATTCATTTTCTCACAGCCTCGACCGTTTCCTTCTTCTGCCGCTCATTCGTTTGACGCCGGCGGGCCTTTTGTTTGTCAGGCTCACCGGTAAGAAGTTGTGAATTGGGGTGAAACTGAGTAGGAATCAAACCTTTTTGCTTGAAACTCCAAACTACTGCAGACATTTTGATTTGAGAAAACTTCCTGGATGTGAAGCAAAAACAAATTCAGCTTCAGAAATGTTGTCCAGTTGTTTTGTTTAACCTTTTTTTCTTTGTTTTAATTCAACTTTTTCTTCATGACGATCAACCAGAGGTGTATAAAGTACTTGGAAAAAAAATAAGTGAAAGTAAAAATACCTTTAACAAAAAATGACTGGTAAAAATAAATTTCACTGATGAGAAAAATGCTTAAGTAAAAGTCATAAAACTGTTCATAAAAATTGGGAAAGTAAAAGTAAAATAACATTTACACTCTCTAAGAAAAACTTTAGAATTTACTGAACCCCTTAACAGTCTTTGTTCAACCGGTGGGCAAAAATGGTTCAGTTTCTGCCTTTAAACATTTCCAGATGCTACCGAGGGCTTTTATTTTGTGGACTAGGGTGTCAGACAACTTCCTCCATTTCTTACCTTTGTTTTGGCATCCTTAAAAATGTCAAAAAGGCTTTTAAGAAAATTCAGTTAACCAAACTGGTTCCACTAAACCAAGTGGAGAAAATGTTTTTGCCTCATGTTTAATCTACTAGTGAAACCAGCTGACATGACTTGTTTGAGTAAATTCAACACTTCAGTTTTTTAGAGCACAAACAACTCCTTTCATGATGAGTTTGGTCATATTTAATTTTGTAAAGAGTAACTAGATGCTAAATTTTAAAGTAAAGAAGTGAAAATATCAATTCAAGGTTTTAGATGTAACAAATTACAAAAACAAAAGTAACAATTAAATACAAATCCTCAAAAAATTACTTAAGTACTGTAACTAAGTAAATGTGTTTGCTGCTATCTCAAAGACATGCGTTACAATTTTGTGCTAACGTGGTGCTATGTCAAAGACATGCGTTACAATTTGGTGCTAACGTGGTGCTATGTCAAAGACATGCGTTACAATTTTGTGCTAATGTGGTGCTATGTCAAAGACGTGCGTTACAATTTTGTGCTAACGTGGTGCTATGTCAAAGA